CAACTTCCATCCCTCCATGAACTCTACTTAGTTTGCCTAGATATAGTGGCTGAAAATCCAATGATCTTATTTGATTCACCAGAATTTACTTCGATTGATGAGGAATTATTACTCAATATATTAAAATTGGATATGATTTGTACGGATGAATTAACAGTATTTAATAAATTGGTTGAGTGGGGGATCGCAAATACACCAAATTATAATACTATAACTGATAAAAAATCTCAACTAAGTGCATTAGGCGCCACTATTGAAGAAGGATTAAAATTAATTCGATATAATTACATAAGTCATTCCATTAAAGAATTTAATCAGATCATGCCAAAAAACTTTTTATATTCATCTCGCTGTAAGGTTATGCTTGATCCAAAGGCTGTTAGTAATAGATTTGCTGGAATAATTGCCGCATGGATTGAAAGAAAGGATCCTATGGAAGCTCAATACACTGCTGTTAACAATCCATTTAGATTTAGGCATGTTTTTCGTATGAATGATAATACCGATTTTTCATCTAGACATTATAGATTTCATAAATCTTATAACAAGTTACCGACAATTAAATGTCACGAAGGACCTTCATTAATGATAATGAGACTTAAAAATTCTGGAAAAATTCTTGGTGCTTACAATCCTATTCAATGGAAAAAAGGAGATATCGATTATCGTTCTACATCAGAGAGTTTTATTTTCTCTTGTGATGATAGATTTGGTTCAAATTATCGTTTGTGTAGAGTTAATAATTTTCATCGTGCTGTCTGTTTATTAGATGGTCTATTAAATTTTGGTGAAGATTTAATGTTTACATATGATGAAACAAGCGTCAAATGCAAGCTTAAAACTAAATTTTATGATCAAACTACTTTGGCTGAAGATATTTACGAAGTCGATGAATGGAATATTTATAAAGTTAGAAGAAAAGATGAACTTCCAATGAGTCTAATGATCAAATTGGATCATTCTTCCGTTGAATCAAAAATTATTAATAGTGACTTTTTCAGCATTATCTCAACTTGGATTGATAAAAAAGATCCAGAAAAAGATCCTTACCTTAAATCTAATATGCCATTCCAATTTACACCTATATTTCGCATGAAAGATAATTCAGCTTTCTATCCAAAGCAGTATTATAATCAATTAACGGAGAGAATATTACCAACAATGAAATGTCATCATGGACCTTCATTGATGTTAATGAAAGTAAAAGGTTCTGGAAAAGTAATTGGAGCTTATAATCCTCTCGATTGGCAACCTGGAGCATATCGATATTATCCAACTGTTATTGAATATAGAAATACAGAAGATAGTTTTATTTTTTCTTATGAAGTAGCTGCAAATAATGAAACAAAACATCGATTATGTCGTGTTGTAAATTTTGATCGAGCAGTTGGTTCTGAGAAAATGACCACCAATAGAAAAGATCTTAATGGTTTAATTTTAAGATTTGGTGATGATTTGGTATTTTCTCATCGAGGAGGAATACGTCAAAATATTTATTCTGGTATCTTTTGTCGTATAATGAAAGATGGATGCTATGAACAACCGCCCATAATGCCTGCTGGAAATTATGAAATTGATCAATGGGAAATTTTTAGAGTTGCTAAAAAAGTTCCAGAACTTTCTGATTCAGATTAAGGGAAAAAACTCTGAAAGATTCATGCATATTATATTGCTTAGTTTTGTAAAGTGCATTACAGTGATAAAAAAGAAATTAACTTAATAACGGCCTTTATATATTTATAACAATTCTGAGATCCAATTCCCTTGATTTTATCATTATTTCTTCTGGCATTTATATAATTTCGTTTATTTCCATAATATTTTGAAAATGATATAAAAACGTGATCTCTGTATATTTTTGATAATAAAGTATTCATTATGTTTGTCCTTTCAATTACAATTTCTCATTGCTAAAAATTCCAAGTGCAAATATTCTGGTAACGTTCCCATTTTTGATAGTAAATGAATATCTTATATTCATCTTATTCGACCCCTATCCCATGATATAAGGTCTAGGATCGGGCCACTCGCGGGCTTTTTTGGAAGTTAATCTGCAAAATGTTGGTCACACGATAAGTTATTATGTGATTATTATTTTGGGGCGGCCAAGATTAACTTTTCAAAAAAAGCCCGAAAAGCCTCGGGTGGCCTGATTCCGTATCCTACCGGCCCATGTTCATGATTGTATCAAGGTTATAAGACATTAAATTATTTTAATTTTTCATTATTAACTGAATTGTGGTGATTCATTTTTTAAATAAAATCTGGTTTAGCCATTTAATACAAGTGTACTAGAGTTTGTATTGTGTGGTACAACTTTTTAAGT